CTTTATGTAATCACTTATATAAATTATTAAATAAAGATACGAGCAAGACCTCACCTTTAATATAAAAAAAAAAAAAATTAATTTAAGTTTTAAATGCAGCACTTATAAACAAGAAATAATAACATCTGTATACGATTTTATAATAATATAATTTTTATAATAATATAATTTTATATAATGAATGAATTTAGTGTGTATCATTTTTTAATGCCAATTATTAGCTCAAATAAAAAGGGATGTTTAATATTAAAGGCGACATTTCGAAATAAAGCAAAAATCATTGTAAAAAATCAATAAATATTTCTCATTTTAAATTTATTAACACCAGTGAATTACATACGTAGTTTCAATCATAGTTGTAATCATTAAAATTTATGTAAATAAAAAAGTTTAATGAATTAATAAATTGAAGTAAACTTTTGAAAATTTTTTTTTTGCTAATACTTACAATTCTTCCTATTTTATTAAAATGAACATTGAAGATACTAATGATCAGTAGAAACTGATGAGGAGCGAGAATTACATCTTGCCAATAGACGTAATCAGAGGAAAAAAAAGAGAGCTGAGAAAACAGAAGAAGAGAGAAAAATATGTATTGAACATGAACGTAGCCAAAGGCAAAATAAATTAAATGCAGAAACACCAGAGGAACGAGAAGAACGCCTTGCACATGATCAGAATAGAAAAAAAAATTGTCACAGAAACTATAGAAGAGAGAGAAGTGCGTCTTGAACATAGACGTATTCAATGGAGTAAAAAAAAAGCAGAAGCCAATAATGAACCTATTGTGGAAAGTGGACAACTTTCAGAATTTGATAGAAACCTTTTAAATACTTTTTACAAAATAATGGCAAAAACCAAAAGTGAATTTTGCCCGACATGTGATAAACATTTTTCATCCATAATTCTCTACCAAGGTGAATACTATCAATGTTATAAAGATAAAAATACTCCCAAAAAATTTTCAACAGAAAATAATATGAATCCAGGTATGAACCACTAAATTTGAGTCAATAATAATAATTAAGCAAATAGAAATAATAATAATAATAATAATAATAATAATAATAATAATAATAATAATAATAAAATTTAGGCGATGTACCTCAAGAACTTCAGAATTTAACAAATATTGAAGAAATGCTGATCGCTCAGGTTTTTTCTATAGTTTCAGTCTATAATCTTCGTGGTGGACAATATGGGTATAAAGAAAATGTTATTAATTTTCCTCAAGATGTACATGACTTTGTAACACGCCTACCACGTCATCCATTATCTTTAGATACACTTATTATATGATGTCCTTCTTTAAACAAATCAACATTTCAAGATTTTCAAGTTCGAAGAGAAAAAGAATATAGAGCTTTATGTTGGCTAAAAGCTAATAATCTTTTTTATCATGATATTGATATTGCTGAGGACATAATTCAATTATTACCTAAAGATAGTTCAATAATTGAACAACTTTCACATATTTCAAGCAATTACTTAAGCGATGAAAATGAATCATATGAAAGTATTGAAGATTATAATAACAATAGTATTTCACAAACCTTTATCTCTGTTCCACCTCCTACATGTTGTGAAGATAGTGCAATTGATAAGGCCCTGAGTAACCTGCAAAATAATAACAATCAGCCCCAATAATTGAATGGCCCAAGATTAATCATGCACCAATTGATGAGTTTAATACTCCAGGATACATGGCACGTGCATTTCCCACACTTTATCCTTATGGTATTGCTGACTTATATGCATCTCGAATAAAAAAAGTACAGCCTGCTGAGTATTTTCAACATCTTTTAAAATATAAAGATGGTTGCTTTGCTCAACATCCACATTGGCATTATTTTGCTTTGAATTCTCAAATGAGATGGCGAGCATTACAAACTGGATGGGTGTATGTTCAGCAGAATTTAGAAGAAAAACAACTCACAGCTGCAGAAATTCAGGAATTATTACAGTCTAATAATAACTTTGCAAATTGTGTTATACGATATGGAGATGTATTACATGGTACTCGTCAATATTAGTCACGGCATAGTTGTGAATTAACAGATATGATATCCCAATTGGGGTCTCAAGGAATGATATTTTTTACTTTCAGTTCTGCTGATTTACACTGGCCTGAATTACATAATCTTATGCCATATGGTAAAAATTCAGCCAAGAGTGAAAATGAAAAAGAGGCTGCTAAATATCGATACCAAGATCTTATCAATAATCCACATACAGCTGCGTGGTTTTTTAATAAAAGATTTAATATTTTTTTTGAAAAAGTCGTGGATCCTAAATAGAACTTAGTAGATTAGTGTTTCCGCTTTGAGTGGCAGCACCGGGGTAGTGCACATATTTATGGTATTTGAATTAGAGCTGATACTCCTATAATAGAATGGAACAACATGAAAAATAATGAGGAATTAATGCAAAATGTGTTAAACTATATGGATTCTTTGATTACTACTATCAATCCAGATGTGAATGCCTCTATGCCAAATAAGCATCCTTGCCAGAAACATATAGAATACTGTGATGATAGTCTACAAGACTATATTGAATTAGTCAACAAACTCCAATGCCATACACGATGTAGTACATCATATTGTCTAAGAGTTAATAAGAAAACAGGCCAACAATTTTGCAGATTTGGATTTCCAAAAGACTTAAGAGAGCAAACTATTATACAAGAAAATAATCGTGGTCAACCAGAGTTACTAACAGCTAGAAATGATCCCTATATAAATTCGCATAATCATTTTCAGCTCCAAGGATAGAGAGTGAATGTAGATCTAAAGCCTATACTTACTACTTATGCTGTATTAAAATATGTATCAAGTATGCAAGTAAAGCTGAGCCCCGTTCAGCATCATTTTCTGAAGTATTAGAGAGTATCCTTGCTCATAGTAAACCTAATGACTCATCTGTTAAGTCTTTTCAAAAATTTTTTCTCCATATAGTAGCTGAGCGTGATTTTTCAACCCAAGAAACTTGTCACCTTCTACTTGGTATTCCTCTATATCATTGTAGTCGGACATTTGTAACATTAAATCTTAACAATGAAGCTTTATGATGTATTTATAAAGACAATAACAATAGTGAAGTCTATAATAGTAGCGAAGATCATAATAATAATAATAATAATAATAATAAAACAACAAATACAATAAAAACAGGATACTCATCTTTACAGTTGTACTGGACTCGACCTACTGAGTTCCAAAATGGTTCACTCTTTCAATTATATTTAAGCTACAAATATGTAAAAGGGGAATGGAAACGCTGTACAAAAGGCAATATAGTGCGTATCTAGCCACGACCATCCCCATTACAGAATAGACCTTATTGGGAAGAATTTTGCCGAATGAAAGTTCTTTTGCATGTTTGTCATAAAAGCATCTTACAGCTTACAGAAAATAAACCCTTTCATGGACAGAGCTCTATGATCGTTATTTGCAAGAAATCATATCTGGACCTGCTGATTTACTTGGACTAGCTGTAGATACTCTTGAAGAAGAAAATGATAGTAATGAATACAAACTTGATGAAGAAAATGAATATGAAATACAACCTGACTGGATGAACATAGCAGAGACAAGTTCTGATACACAAACAAGTAATTCTTTAGACCTTGGTTTACGCAG